TTTTTTTTTTTTTGAGACGGAGTCTTGCTCTGTAGCCCGGGCTGGACTGCAGTGGCCGGATCTCAGCTCACTGCAAGCTCCGCCTCCCGGGTTTACGCCATTCTCCTGCCTCAAGACTCCCGAGTAGCTGGGACTACAGGCGCCCGCCACCTCGCCCGGCTAGTTTTTTGTATTTTTAGTAGAGACGGGGTTTCACCGTGTTAGCCAGGATGGTCTCGATCTCCTGACCTCGTGATCCGCCCGTCTCGGCCTCCCAAAGTGCTGGGATTACAAGCTTGAGCCACCGCGCCCGGCCGATGCCTGATTCTTTAAAGGCACCACTTGCTAGTTCTGTGCTCTTAGTGAACACGTTGCTTAACTTCTTCAGGCTTCTGTTTCCTGGCAATAATATCCATCTCATACGGTTGTTGATCAATGATACATGTAGAGCACTCAGCATAGTGAAAGTTATGCATTCAAAATTTAGTTAAGCATTCCTGATCCAAAAATCTGAAGTCTGAAATGTGGCAAAATCTGAAACTTTTTAAGCACTGACATGATGCCATAAGGGAAAAATTCCATATCTGACATGTGACAGGTCACAGTCAAAAGAGAGTCAAAACTTTATTTCATGCACAAAAATACTGAAAGTACTGTATAAAAGAGGCCATGTGTATAAGGCATATATGAAACATAAATGAATTTCCTGTTAAGACTTGGGTCCTGTCCCCAAGACATCTCATTATGTACATGCAAATAGGGCAGGTGTGGTGGCTCATGCCTATAATCCCAGCATTTTGGGAGGCTGAGGCAAGAGGATCGCTTGAAGCCAGGAGTTTGAGACTAGCCTGGACAACATATGGAGACCCAGTCGCCACTAAAAAAAATAAAATAAAATAAATTAGCCGAGTATAGTGGTGCATGCCTGTAGTCACAGCTACACGGGAGGCTGAGGTGGGAGGATCCCTTGAGCCCAGTGATTTGAAGCTGCAGTGAGCAATGGTCATGCCACTGTACTCCAGCCTGGGTGATAGAACAAGATGCTATCTCTAAAAAAATTAAAATAAAATTTTAAAAAACATTGTAAATTCTCCATAGTGTATCACCAAATAGGCAACAAATTCAAAATCTGTGGAAATCGCTTTTCAACCTCACAGGTAATAATCAATGTCCCTAAAAAAGCACCCCAAAGAAGGTTTCGTATAATAGTGTATGACCATGTGTCAGCATTGGGCTGTTAGTTATAACGATTTAGTGTTTGGCTTACAATGAATCCTGTACAAATAAATATCTTACACCACACATTCCTGCTTTAGTTTCAAACCTTTATAGTTACACATACAATGAAAGCAATAGAATGGGCACTGTTTGCATTTTAGGAATGAAAAGAACAGAAATTCAATTTCTTCATGTTTCTTCTTAAAATTACTAGTTAGGCTACTGCCCATTTAGCTATTATATTTCAACTACTTTAACTTAAAATCCTTCTATACAACCACTCCACCAAGAGAGTCCAAAAATGTGAAGAACATTCCTTTTTTTGTCCCTAATAGTCTCAGCAATTGTCTCCGGTACTTTACAAACCTGAGTGATCATAAGAATCACCTAAAAGTACTTGTTAAAGTATGGTCCTGGGTCTCCACCTCAGATATAATTTATCAGAAATTTCACAGGAGGCCTTGGAATCTGGTTTATAGAACAAGCACAAAAGGTGCTGCTTAGCTCTCCCTTCAAGAGCTGCTAGCTGGCAGTCTCTGCTACCTCACCTTCAGGATCCACTGCACTGTCCACTCCCGTTAAGGCCACATTCTCCCCAGGGAAAGATTAAACAGGCAGGGCCACTTGAGTTGGGCCAATTCTGCACAACGTGGATCCTCTTTGGTCTGGGGCTCCCATCAGACTAGCTGAGATTTTTTCAGAAATGCACTGCAGTCTGGGGTTCTTTCCACCCCATCTTTCTTCATCCTTTCACAAGTATAAAAAACTAGCATTGCAGCCTCTTTATCCTTCTCAGGCATTTCCTCCAATAAATCTCTTGCATTTCTAATTCCATCTTGATATTTGCTTCCTGGAGAACCCAAATGGATATACATCCCAAGTGATTTTACATTCAGGTAAATGTCAGAGCCAATACCCTACGCTAGTGATTCTCAATTTTGGCTATACATTGGAATCACCTAGATAACTTTTTAAAAATACTTGGCTGGGGGCAGTGGCTCACACCTGCAATCCCAGTGCTTTGGGAGGCTGAGGCAGGAGGATGGCTTGAGGCCAGGAGTTCAAGACCAGCCTGGGCACCATGTGAGACCCTGTCTCTATCAAAAAAAAAAAAAAAAAAAAAATTGGTCGGGCATGGTGGCGTGAGCCTGTAGTCCCAGCGACTCAGGAAGCTAAGGTGGGAGGATTGTTTGAGCCCGGAAGTTCAAGGCTGCAGTGAGCTATGACTGTACCACTACACTTCAGCTTGGATGACAGAGCAAGACCCTGTCTAAAAAAAAAAAAAAAACCTGATGCCTGATGCCTACATCTTATCCTCTGTGTATACAATCAGATGGTCTAGGGCAGTGGTTCCCAAACATTTTGGTACTAGGGACTTGTTTTGGTGGAAGACAACTTCCACAGGTGGGAGGTTGGTGGGGGGCACGGTGGAGGGATGGTTTGGGGATAAAACTGTTCTACCTCAAATCATCAGGCATTAGTTAGATTCTCATAAGGATATAAGGAGCACTGCAACCTAGATCCCTCACATGTGTAGTTCTCAATAGAGTCTGGGCTCCCGTGAGAATCTAATGCTGCTGCTGATGTGACGAGGCGGAGCTCAGGTGTAATGCTTGCAGCCACTCACCTCCTGGTGTGCGTCCCGGTTCCTAACAGGCCACAGAATGGTACCAGTCCACGGCCTGGGGGTTGGGGACCCCTGGTCTAGGGTACAATCCGGACATCAAGTATCACCATCCTATTACCCTACACAAGATGTAGTCTTCAGGACACAGGGTCAAATATAAAATTCTGACCAGGAGCTGACCCTTGTTCATCCAGCTGTATCTCACACTGGTTCAGTTCCTAGAAAGCAACTTCCTTTCTCTACCTAAATAATTCTTCACCCAAGAAGACTGTTACGTTCATAAAAAGGCAACAACAAAACTCTTATCACATTTTATCCTTTTAAAGATACATACTTCACTTTTGCTTCTGAAATGATAGACATTTTTCCCTATTCCTTCCTCTAAATATAACTAAAATTTGTGAATATTATATATAAACAAACATTAGACATCGAAAAGTGAAAAGGTACCACAAGGCACAAAGAACAACATGGTAATGAGTTTTCCTTGAGTTCTTTTTACCTCATATATCCCAGACTGGATTATAGAGAAGCTAGTAACCAGGAAATGTCACCACCAACGACAAAAAGAAACATAAAAGCTACTCTCTTGAGGCAAAGGAGCAGGAAAGGGAAAGCCTAGCAAGGCGGAGCTTGCAGGGAGCCGAGATCGCGCCACTGCAGTCCAGCCTGGGCAACAGAGTGAGACTCCGTCTCAAAAAAAAGAAAAAAAGAAAAAAAAGAAAGAAAGAAACCTAGAAAACACCCCTACCCTTGTGAGGGCTATATTGATGCACCCCAACTCCCTCAATGGGGTGGTGTCAGAGAAGACCAACCGGGGAGGACTGGGGAGGACTTTCATCCTCACTGGGGAGAAATGAAGGCTCCCCCAACCCCTGCCCAACCACCACCAAGGCATCCCTGGAGACCATGTGGGAGGCTGAACTTCCACCCATCCACCAATTCAGTCATCCCTACCCATTTTTACCTCCACTTTTTTGCTGGGGTGGTGTCAGATGAAGCCTATTAGAAAGTCAGGACTTCCACTATCTCTCACAGGTAATAAGGCCATCTGCTGACTCCCCACAGTGTCAGTGGGTCACCTCCTCCCAGTCAGGGTGGTATCGGTGGCCCCAGTAGAGAGTCATCATGACCAGTAGTAAGAGGAGCTCTTCCCACTCTCAGTTTCTTTCTCTCTCTCTCTCTCTCTTTTTTTTTTTTTTTTTTTTTAAGACAGTGTCTCATTCTACACTCCAGGCTGGAGTGCAGTGGGGTAAACACAGCTCACTGCAGCCTCAACTTCCTGGGCTCAAGCAATCCTACCATTTCAGCTGGGACTACGGGCGCACACACCACGCCTGGCTAGTTTTTGCATTTTTTGTAGAGACAGGGTTTTGCCATTTTGGCCAGGCTGATCTCAAACTCCTGGGCTCAAGCCATCTGCCTGCCTTGGCTTCCCAAAGCGCTGGGATTACAGGCACGAGCCACCAAGCCCAGCCCACTATGTTTCAACGGAAGGCAAGCAGGAAACCTGGAGTTTTATCCTCACCTGGTAGTAAAGAGGTACTGCCCCACCCTTCCTGTTTTTGGAGCACATCAAAGGAAGAGAATCAAGCTAAAAGAGTATGTAATGAGACCAGAGAATCACAACATAACACTCCCAATGTCCTGGTTTCATTGAAAATCACTCAGCACACCAAGAACCACGAAAATCTTAACTCAAATGCAAAAGACAATCAATAGACACTAGCAATGAGATGACAGACATTAGATTT